AGCAGGAGAAAGGATTGCTGCGTGGTCATCCCCCTGGGGGTGATTTCTCACTTTCCCTCTCACTGTCTCTGTCTCTTTTTCTCTCCCATGAGTGCATGAGCCCTAAGGGAAAAATGTCTAAAGAGGTCATTAGGATACAGGCTCCAAGATGGAGGTGCATAGGAGCTCGATTTCATTTTAACGCTTTTCTTTACCGATATCCCCTTTTCTCATTTTTCTCAATGACGGTGGCCCCTGAACAATGCATGTGAACAGGTTCTATGAGGAGACTTCAAAAAGTTCTTTGAAAAATGGAATCAAAGTATAAGTTCATTTTTGTAAAAAATATTTTAAAATTCATTGTTTTTTCAGAATATGCATTTTTTTCTGAACTTTTTGAAGAGTCCTTGTACATATCTGTGTGTGAGTGTGTGTGTGTGTGTGTGTGTGTGTGTGTGTGTGAAATGGATCCTTCCATGTTGGGAACAGGGGTTCCAAGAGAGAGGGCCTCTTCCGAGTCTACACGGCCTTCTTCCCTGCTGCCCTTTCCACCCGCCTCTCACCCTCCAGACCAACTGTCCGCCCACCTGGTGAGCTAGGCTCTTCGGACAAGACTCTGCCAGCCGGCTGTGGGTAGAGAACACACGGGCACTTGCATACGAGCTGGGAGGTAGGCTGGTCTGAGAAGCCCAGAGCCGGTCCACAGCCCAACCCTATCATACACCGAGAAGGGTGAAGGAGGGACCATCAGACGGTGGGCGTGAGGGTTATGTCGCTGGACTCCCACATAGCTGACCACAGTTCGAGTCCTGAACCTGATGGCTAAAATCTCACGCTGGGTGCGTGTGCATGCGTGCCCAAGATCCAGAGAGGAGAATGGAGAAGGGATTGCGCTTTCTCGCTTTCTGTCTCTCTCCAGCGAGCACGTGTACCCTATAGCAAAAATCTCTCAAAAAATGTGAATTCGCTAGGTAAGGCCATGGACACTTGGGTGCCAGTTATTTTTAAAGCAGAGTGTAGTTAGGGGAGAAAAGGTAGTTTAAAACTGATAGTTTTTGAGACACTATGGCATGGTCATTTTGGTTTTAAATGTGTCAACAAAGAGTACTTTCTAATTCTGAGCCATGTGGCACACATGTGTCACTGTGGTACAAGAGCTGGAATGCTCCTGGCCCCAGCAGGCCTGATGGCCCGCGGTGCTTGGTGGGGAGAGCCCCAGGGGTTGCCCTCTGCTCTGTGGCCAGCTCAGGCGGCCCAGCGCTGAGTCGCCCATGGTCCCAGCGAGCCCAGTGGCGGGTAGGCAGTTTCTCCTTGGCTTTTTCTGCACAGGTGACCTCCAGCCACCACCCCCTGGGGATCCCTGACCTTCAGGGAGAGCCCAGCCCCTTTCTTTCCCAACCGCCACCAGGTGGCACCCTCCCCTTCACTGCCACGATGCCTGTGGTTTTGCTACAATGGGAGAGAAATTTCAAATGGTGCTCTTTGGTTTCCATCTTCAGAATTAATGAACATGGGACAGCAGATGGCACAGCAGTTACGTCCCTGGATTCCCTCGTGGCTGACTGGATCGAGTCCCAGACCTGGTGGCTTGAAAATCATGCCAGGCGCGTGTGCGTGCAGGAGGAGAACAGAGAAGGGATTTTGCAGCGTGACCATTCCTGGGGGTAATTTCTCACCTTCCGTTTCACTGTCTCTTTCTCTCTCTGGCGAGTGCACATGCCCTAAGGCAAAAACTCCTAATTTTTTTATTTTAGGAAAGAATTAATGAACACAGGCGGGAAAAAAAATGAGCAGGCTAGTTGCTAATGGTTAACAAACATGTTAGTGTGGGGACAGGGACGCTGAAATCTCAGTCTCTGTGGAAGAAAACCAGCGAATCAAACTTAGCATGACCGGGTCACACCCTTCCTGAGGCAGAGGCACAGAGAAGCCCTGGGCAGTCTGTCCGCAGCAGAGGCTGAGCTGCAGAGGAAGAGCGCGTGCACCTCACGTCGCAGGACATGAAGTCACCGCTGTCTTCAAACGGAGACAGTGGCGTCCCCTCCAGGCTGCACCACGGCTTAAGGGAAATGTCTCCTGAAGAAAAACGAAAATACGAGGTGCGATGGAAGAGCCCGCACATGCCACAACGGCTAGGCACACGCGTGGGCAGGACAGACGTCGGTGAGCAGGCGCGGTGAGACGGCCACACACCCACAACACACGTGCGTTACCCTTCTGTAGGGTAACGCTGCATACTAGCGACAGGTGACATGCCAGGGGACAGTCTCGCCTGGCTGACGAAGTGACAGCTTCGATGGCATCGAGGTCCAGGCTTTCTGGAATGAGCATAGATTAGAACTCTCATAACCAGAGAAAAGGAAAAGATATTCACAGAGTATCGACATCGCTCTGCTCAAATTCAACAACTGATCTTGAGAGTGCAGCCTGGTGAGCGCAGGGCACAGCCCTCCTAGCCGGGCCGCTGTCCCCCGCGTGTGGCCACAGGTGTGCGGCCACCGGGGCACACGTGTGGAGGTGCTGTCCCACGCTGTGTGGTTACATGCGTGCGGCCACCGGGGCACACATGTGAAGACTGTGACCATGGTCTGAACTCTCCCCCAGACCGAGCAGCCCCGCACAGCCTGGGTGGGTTCTTTCTTGCCACATACACGCTGGGGGACGAGAGCCAGAATCCGAGACTCCGGAGGCGGTGCCCGGGCTCCTGCTAAGCCACTCGGTGCTCTCCATTTACCACTCCAAACAGGAGCGCGGTCACTGCTGGGCGGGGGGTCAGGGCGTCGCATTCAGCCCCTCCTGCAGTCCTTGGGTGGAGAGGGGCCCGGGGCCTGGGCTGGCTCGCCACTGTGTCCTTGGGTGGAGTGGGGCGGGGGCCTGGGCTGGCTCGCCACTGTGTCCCTTCATTGGGTCCAGCTCACTGAGAAGCGCCCGCTGCTCCTGCCCCCCCACTGCGCACCCTGAGGCCCAGGTCACACTCTGCTGGGACAGCCAGGGCATGAGGACAGATGGGTCAGTGGATGACACAAAGCGCAGGAGAGCCTGACTCAGGGTCCAGGAAATGCCCGGGTGAGAGTGCGGGCTCTGGGAGGGGCTGGTGCATATCCGTGAAGGCAGCAGCTCTTCCCAGACGCTGAGTGGCAAGGCCCTCGTGTCACCCGCGGTCAGCCAACATGTAGTCCCCGGCGGCTGCTCCTGCAAACACAGACGTCAGGACAGGCCTCCCTCCCAGGCAGCGTCACACACAGCTGCACTGGCCTGGCCCTGTCGGATTTGGGGCCCCACTGTCCCTCTGGAGTTGCACCCTGGCCTACATGGCCTCCCCTCATCTCACCTCACCACCCGCTCCCATACAGAGACTACGTCCGTCCTCATGGGCAGGCCCAGCAGTCTGCGTGGCCGGCTTCCACTGCCCCCTTTTGCCCATACCCCTGGGGTGCCCAAGGACTGGGGAGCCAGAGTGAGGGTGGCAGGTGCTGAGCCACGACTGCTCACCTCCCCGTCCACTGCACGGCCGCTCTGTCTAGGCGGTGGCTCCCGTGTGCATGTCTCCCTCACCCTCAACCTCACCCCACTTCACACAGGCTTCCCGCAGAGGCCTTTTCCGATCCCCAGGGCTGCATCCTCTCCTTCCTTGGCACCGAAGCACCTGTGTCCTCCTGCCTCACGACCCCAGGCCTCCTCCAGCTGCTTCCTCGCTATGGGTTCTGAGAGAGGCCTGAGTGTGGGGCCAGCCTGACGCCTGAGGGAGTCTGCTGCATTAGAGGCTTTCGTGGGGGACCCTTGAGTCCCTTTCCTGCTCCCAGGGGTGCTGAAGCCCCGCAGAACACAGAGAAGCAGCTTCCCTGCAGCCCCTCGGCCCTTCTGCTGGGGGGTGAGCGCTCCTACTCACTCGAAGCCCGTCTCCTCCTCAGCGTCCTGAATACAACTCCAGTGACGAAGATGACGACACAAACAGAGATCCCGCTCACGACCCCGACGGCCAGGGTGCCAGGCAGCGAGGGCTCTGGAACGGCAACGCGCAGGAGAGCCTGACTCAGCACCCACTCCAGCCCGGAGCAGGCCCTTTTCTCCGCCTGGGGCCCCGCAGCCTCCCCTCCGTCACGTACCCCAGGAAGCAGAGAGCGGCTGGTGCAGGCCCGGGTGCTCCACCTGGCAGGTGTACCTCCGCTCTT